CGAGCTCGGTACCATCTAAATTGGTATTAGAATACAAGAAACAAATACTGAAACGGAAAAACAAAAATTTGAAATTATACATAAACCTATTTGTGATGATAACCAAAACGAAACGAAACAAACTAAATATATACCTCCTTCGAAAAGAAGTTTTGTAGGTGATGGGAAAAAAAGGAAGTGCAAAAGAATACCAAAATAATAAATTGAAGTCTTTGTTTTAATAATTTAATTAAATATATATATATATAGATTAAAATTAAAAACGTGCAATTTATATATGTTTCTGCATTTTAGACATATATTATCCATTTTGTGTTTAATATCGTCTTTTAAAAATAATATTCTGGCCAATAATAATTGTTTGCCGAGTCTAGTTATAAAAAATTCAAATGTTATCACATATAATTATAAAAAAAGGAATTAAAAGCCCGAACAAATAATTTGAATCAAAATTTACATTAAAATTTAACTTTAATTTTAAACAACAATGAATGAAATAATTTTTATTAAAGATTTAATAACAAATATATACATATATTAGAAGCTTGTGGAAAAAAATATTTGGAATATTATTTATTGGAATATTATTATACAGATTATTGTATCCCAACACCGTGTTCATCAGGCCTTTCATGAGCTTATCTCTCTGCTTCCCGAATGTGATATCGTCGAAGACGCGCATCACGTGAGCTGTCACAGGCCTGTGCCTCTGTAGGTCAAAGTCGCCGCTGAAAACTTTGATGAGCTTGTGTGCTGGGTTGAAGATGCATTCGGTGAAGAGCTGGGTTTTTCTGTCTTCGATTACGCGAAGAGGAAGAATGTGTGTCCTCGTTGTTTCGCTTGTGTAGGTCTCGAGAAGCCGGACCTTGATAACGTACTTGAGCGTGCCGTCATGGAGTGGATAGGACGGCTCAATGTGTGTCTCATAATACTCGCTCATCCGATCGCTGTAGTCGCGGTTGTAAGTTTCGAGCATTTTGCTTTCACAATCTTTGTTGCGAAAGCAAAAAGATTAGGGCTTGTATAGAAAGGGTCAAATAAATATAATTCAAAATAATAAATTAATTATCTTTCAATGTTTCAAGTTTTTGAATTATTGTTTCAATTGTTATCCTTTCAATAGGATTTTGTTTCCAACACTCACAAATCAATTCATACTGATTGTCCTTAATATTTTTGTTTTGTATTGGTCGATTTCCAGCGATGACATATTCGGCTATTTTCCATGGGAATTTGAACAAATCTTTTGTGTAAGCTTCGCACCATCCAAAACACTCAAACATGGTAATTGCAAATGAAAATACATCAGCATTTTTCTTGTATTTTTCTTTCATCAAAATTTCAGGAGCCATGTAAGTCGGTGTTCCAATACCCTTAGTGAATGTCATGTTCGTCATCAGTAGATTAATATTTCGACTTGATCCAAAATCAGTCAATTTTCCATTGACTTTGTTGTTCAAATCAAGTGAAATAACAAGGATGTTATCCGGTTTTATATCTCGATGTAATATGTTATTTTCATGTAAGTAATATATCCCCTGTGCCGCATCTATCATTATTTTTATTCGCATTTTGACATCGACTTCTTCGTTTGTTTTGTGTTTCATTAAGTCTTGCATACTTCCAAATTGAGCAAATTCAGTGACTAAACACACTTTATTCGGAATGAATACGGCCCCATAAAAGTGTACGATATACTCACTTCGGAATTTGTCCAGCATTGAAACTTCATTTTCAAACTCCACCATCTTCCCTTTTTCATCACTAGTACTCTCTTTCATTCGTTTAATTGCGACGACATTTCCTCTGTAATTACCTTTATACACAATCCCAAATGAACCTTCGCCTATTTTCTTTGTTTCCTCAAGTTCATTATAATTCAATTTTGTGGTGTTTTCAGTCTTTGTTTCAATTTTGACTCGTTCATTATATTGTGTACCTGTTTTTAATTCCAATCCAATGACCATAATATCATCTTTTATGTCACACGAACATAATGGGTTGATAAATATCTCAAATTCACACACTTCTCCATGCTTTAAAGTAACAAGTGAAGGCACCGTCCGAATTTTGTAACAATCACATCCCTCTAAAACACTAAATTGTACCTTCATGTTGTTTTTGAAGTGTTTCCGATACAAATCAAATCCCTTGTTTCGGAATCGACCTTTATCAACTCAGAATCACTGCTAAGGTCAAATTTCAATTTAATTTTGTTGGCAACTAAAGTGTCACATAATTTATACATCTCGATGTTTGAACGACTCATCAAGAAGGTGCAGACGTTTAGCGAAACTTTCTTTTGTTTTATTTTAAGTACATATGAATATGTTATGAG